AGCAGGCGAACCTTCATGGAGTACGAGAAGGCTCCATGGGTAGAAGCCAACGTGAAGTCGATGGTTCCAGAGCCCGCAGCCAACATGAATGACATGTGGTTCTACGTCAGTCACACTGTTGATCGATCTATTCCTTGCAACAGCCACTTCAACGGTGACGATGACGAAGCGATGCCGCATGACATCATGAAGGCCAACAATGGCTATGGCAAGACGTGCGTCGTGTGCAGCGCCAATGAGACGGCCAGCATGTACCCCCTTTGGCACCCTGAATGGCAGCGGCAAACCATCACAACAATGGCTGCCAGGATCAGGACATTCACTGTCAAACTGGCCGCCGAGGAGGGGAACCCAATCACGGACCCACAAGGGAACTTCGCTCAGTTCCTCAAGGACATCACCTAATGGTGGGGACCCCATATGGTGAGATACTCTTGAAAGCGTTGTCACACTTTGGTTTGGTGAGGGTTCCACGTGAACGGGTGACGCAGATCTTCATGGGCAAACGTGGGAGGCAGTACACGGTTTTGGCTATCGTGTCTCCAAGGATTACGGCAACGTCTTCTATAAGGACTACCTCAAGATGGTGTTGGGCCGTGAGTTTGACGAGGTCATGGACTACTCCGACGTCGCGGCTGAGAAGTGACGTCGTGGAGATGTGGCTTGGATTGTTGGACATCGCCAACATGACGAAGGACCACATCACGTTCATGAACACCCGTGCCGACCCGGGCGAATTGCTCGCGGGGCTGGAAGCTTCGATCAACATCTTCCACGGCACGACAAGGTCAACTACTACTACGAATACCAAGAGGAACAACTCGAGCTTGACCCAAACCACGTCCTATGAGGGACACATGGTGGACCAGATCTTGCGCAACTGCACCATCTGGACAACTTGGGTGCCATGTGCCTGATCGAGAGCAAGGAGATCGAGATCATCAGTGAGATCTACCCGAGGACATCAAAGAGAGATGAAGATGATCCAATGGGCCAAGAAGGGCAAGGTGGTGGGGTAGGTCCGGCGGCAAGCCCCCAGAACCCAGTCCTCGAGTGCGGGAGCCAATGCTGAAAGGGCAAGTCCGGCGGCGGGCCCCAGTAAGCAGGACGCTCCGAGCACTCCGCCCGATCCTGAGGAGGAATACCAGATCTCCAGGGACAAGGGTCAGGTCATGGATGCCATCGACGCGTTCTTCGCATTGGCGGATGACAACAACGTGTGCATCAGATGTGGCGAAAGCGAACACACCAACTACGAGTGGGACGCCAAGGATGAAGATCCTGTCAAGACTGCACTTGTTAACCTGAGGAAGAAACTTCAAGGTGAAGAAGTTGGTGATGAACCCCAAGGTGAAGACAGCAAAGAGCCACAGAGTGGGTATCAGGCAACACGAGACGGGGAATATATGTTCCTACGACCCATTCCACTTTCGGTGATTGGTGACCGTGCTCATGGTGAACTGAGCATTAATGGAGTGAGGATCGGTGAGAAGGGCCCTGCAACGAAGGACGCATTGAACGAACTCTTTGACATTGCCAGCCAGAAAGGTGTTACCTTGACATGCAAGGACGTGAAGGAGGCCGGCAGGTACATGGACCACAGGATGTACAGCAAGCTCCCGGTCAAGACCAGCATCGGAAAGTTGAAGATCCTGCCAGTTCTACTCCAAGAACTTCGCAGGAGGAGGTGTTGAATTCCCGCTTCCAACGGACGAGAGCAAGAATGAGGTTGTACTCGACAAGTGGGAGAACAGCTACAGCTACTACTTCAACCGAGCCCTGCGACATTTCGTCGGCAAGGAGAAGGTCAAGGACAAGGGGAACTACTACCCCGGCCTACACTGCGATGAAGCAGGTTGGGTCGACATCATGGAGTTCCTGCATTACGGCTGGATTTTTGACCATGAGAAGGTCAAGACCGAAGACGATGGACTCACCCACTCCAGCTTCAGGGAGGATCGAGTCAACCTGATGATCAAGACGGCATGGGCTGAGTTCCAGAAGTCGAACAAAGTCCGAATCCAGTTCTTGTGCGTTGTCCTGGACTCCAGCTACACCAAGCCTGAGCAATCCTCTTGACCGTCAAGATCGTGGCGATCTCGGATGGTTCTTTGATGGGTCGTACCAGTTGGATTCTTCCAGAGTCCACGAGCAATCGCTCCCACTTGTAGGCATTTGGTACCACGCACCAGCCACCTCGGAGAATGGGATGTTCCCGTCAACCGTCAATTGCCCAGAGGCATTGATCATGCATCCGTATCCAATGATTCGATGCACACTGAATGCCAGGACGATGCGCACTGTTCCAAGGTGGGTCAGTGCTCCGCCAAGGATGGCCTTAGAACCGTTCGTCCCATGGTGCAAATGGGTTGAGGAACACTTGGGTTCGTCCTCCTCGATGCCCACCTGGTCGAAGTCCTTCTGATGATACCATTCACGTTTGACATCTCTGTGATATGGTAGCAGGACTGGAACTCATCTGCGAGTCTTGTAGTGATGGGATGACAAATCTTCGAGCTGTCAAGGCGAAAATCGCACCCCTGCGATGACTGAGCGCTTGGTGACCTGACGGCAATTGGCGCCAGGAAAACTTCGCCATAAGCTCCTTGTTGTCGCCATCTCCGTCCAAGAACTTCTTGAGGGGCTGATCGAGCCGTACTCAATGAGATTGTCACGGACATCGAATTTGTCACGGACATCGGGAAGCTCCAGAGGATGAACGGACTCAGAGTGATCTGAGAAACAGGCTTGTGACGTTCATCGCTGAAAACTACGTCCCAAGAGAGACCGGCCCAACGTGCCTGACCGAGACTCCGAACAACTTGTCCATATGCATCAGATGCTCAGGATCACTTGTTAGCTGGGGGGAGAGAACAACCAAGCAGAACGAAGGTGTATCTCCAGGAGTACCTGAACAAGACAAACCATCAAATGATGATGGAACCGGCGATACCGGAGGTGATGTCAACATCGACAAGGACGAGGTCGATCGATTGGTGAAGGAGACCAAAGCGAAGGCCGAGGCACAAACAGACGACGACGTAGACATGACCGGACCACAACCCAGTCAAGCTGGAACAGCTGGTAACGGTCGTTCAGCAAGACCAACTCCGGAACCCAAGACAACCGTCGAGGGCAAGGGGAAGGACCAACAAGAAGCTGAAGATGAACGACAAGCTGAAGAAGAAGATCAAGTCCCAGTTTGGGCGACAAGAATGGTTCCAGTGCATCATTCATTGGTTGATGCGGCAGAAAATGAAGTTGCGGTGGACTCCACCGCGCGAATCATCGACAACATGATTTTGACGCGCATAAAGGACCGATATCGCTTGTACTATTTGTACATGGTCACGACGCCATCACAATCCTACGTGGAGTACGGCAAGAACAACGGCATGATCCCGGAGTATGACGCGTATACATCCCCTACGTTGGGGAGGACGAGAACGGCGACTTCCGGGAGCCCACGAAGGAAGAGTACAAGGCGGCATTTGAACGACATTGCAAACGGGGAGTATTTGGCGGCCGCCACCTTGACATCTATCCCAGGGGTGTTGAAGGTCTCAAGTTCATGTGCAAGCTCATGAAATACTTGGTGCAGACCGGAGTGGCCCCGCAGTTCGCCAGCAATAAGCTTAATGATGTGGCAGATGCGGACGACAACAACAAGGCAGAGGTACGACGTGAAGCCACAGTGGCAGCCACAGATTTTCTTAGGAAGGCCATTGCTGGAGCATTTGCGATCAGATCCTACGACTACTTTCGAGTTAACCCTCCACCACGAGATGACCATCTTCACATTGATCCCGTATCACTGACGTGCGCTGTCACAGAGCGAGTGAGGACGTTTGCAGTCATGGTGACCCTCAACAAGGTTGGTGTAGGTCTACCTGCAGGACTTGAGAAGGTCTGGGAAAGCAAACTGAAATCATCTCGACAAAGCGAGGTTCAGCTGGAGAACAGCATCAAACCACTCGACCCAGCGGACCGCGACAGCATGTGCACCTTCGTGATGGCGATCACGAACACGCCTGGAGAGCCAACCCAGGACAGTGGCGCCGCGGCAAGCAGCAAAGACACAAGCAAGCGTCGGCGCAAATGAAGATGATGTCGTCGTGGAGCACTACTGAGAGTGGCATGAGAGCCGGGTTAATTCGACTCTCAATACCTTTGCTTGTGAGGTCATGAACGACGACCTCCGAGCAGATTCAATTTTTCAATATGAACTGGAGAAGGCAACTTCAGGTGTGCAAGTTCCAAAGTCTCACAGCTAATATTGTGCATGGATCACGCATGAACCAACGCATGCCTGGCGGCGGCGTCGGGGATCGCAAAGATCGATGATGGTACATCAACGGCGAACCGACGTACGTTTGGCGACGGGCGTCGGGGAACCCGCGAGACACTTCATCATTTGTACAATAGAAGCAATTGGGATAGCTCAATGTCTCACCCGCGACTAGTAGCTTTTGTGAGGACTCACATTGCGCAGTAATTAATTCATGCGGTGGGTAACTTTTGAACCCTGGCATTTACTCCTGTGCTTGACAAATCAAATGAGTCAGGCATGGGGGGTGTGAAGGGGAAATAAGCCAGAGGGGTAGAACCATAACACTGCCTGTAGAGGATATCAACAACAATGTATATTCCGCTGCATGGCTCAAGACATCCACGGTCAGATAGCGAGGACAAGGAGCTTGGCGTTGCGCAGCTGTGGTGGAGGTGGACATTGAAGAGTACACGAGCATAGGTGGAGCCAGAATCTACTCACAATGTATATGTATATACATACATACACTGACATACACACATACATGTATTAATCTATATAATATGTGTTTATATAATATATTCTTCAAGACGCATGATAAGTGCAGGTAGCTGCAAGTAGAGACGAAGAAAGGTGCCAATCGATATTGGAGGGCCTTAGTCCTTTATTGCACTCACAGGGGAAAACACGAAGTAAACGGTGAACCAACTTCAATTTTGCGTCCGCATCACGACGCCATGACCGGGAAGTTTTTGTTCAGTGCCGTGCTTTTTTGGCATCTCGTGACAGTTGCGAAGGGCTGGTGGTGCCAAGCTTCACATGGTAGTTGCACCGGGCAGCGCCACAAATTCCAGAAGGATGCGAGTCTTGAGTTTCAGTTTCCGTTTTCTCGCAAAGACTACGGGCTCCTTCGCTTTGCAGACTGGGACAGTGATGGCGACATGGATATCTTGGTGGCAGAAAATGAATCACTTTGGTTCTATGAAAGGCTTCCGGGTTTGGGTGACTTCTTCGAGAAGCACGAGGTGATACGGTTTTCCAGCTTTCGAAGCAGTTTTGAAGTTCCCTACTCACACTGGTTCGGTGAAAAGGGTTTTGAAGTTGCAGACTGGGATGGTGACTGGCAGCTGTTTGATTTTCATTGTTTTCTATTTCTCTGGCGGTTTTGTGCACCAAAACATGTAGTTTCAAAAGGGTATGGTAGTGTTTCAACAGACTTGCTCAGGTGATGGAAACCCTGATTTGTTGGTTTGCCATCGCTCATTCAAACTGACCTCTGTTCAATTTCTGAACTATCAGATGGTTCTCGCTAGTAGTATCAGCATCGTGTCGGAAGCACCGATGATTTTGTTGACGAATGAAACCACCGGTTGTCACATGCAAGCTGTGGACTTTGATGAAGATGGCGACGTGGATCTTGCCTTGAGTGAACCGTATGCTTCTTCTGTTGGCTGGCCTACCCACCGGCTTCGCAAGTACTTTGAGCGAGTTTCAGATGAAGTATCTGCATTGGAGGAACGGACTGGAGAGGACAATCCTTTAGAAGCCTTCACAGACCCAGTGCAGCAGATTGCGGACCTGGATGGCGATGGACGTTTGGATGTCCTGGTTGCGGTCGAGCCCGGAGCTGCAAGAGTCACTCGATGGCGTTACTTCCGGCGCACAGCGGCTGGTACCTTCGTTGAGCCGTTGGAGAATCCTTTGGCAGCGATGGTGTTTAGAAATTATTTCATACCACATTGGATGCGGGCCTTGCACTTATATGTGGCAGACTGGAATTCTGATGGGGTTCCTGACGTTCTTTTCGTAGATCAAAATCCAAACACCGGATTTCCCAGTTTTCTTCGCGATTTCAATCATCAGCATGTGGTGGACCGAGACCTGCAGCGCAATTCTCATTTTGACATGTATGAGAACATCCGACTGCCGTACAGCGCCAGTTTCATAGTGGAGGACTGGAACGAAGATGGCTTCGAGGATGTGCTGGTTTTCAGTTTCACTAAGTACGGCGGGAGCGAATCCTTGACCTTCCGCCGTTATGAATTTCAGCCGCGGGGCATGAAGGAAGTGGATGTTTTTTCCATCCCCTTCCATCACTACCATGCCGGGGACTCTCGAGGCCTTGATAACTTTGCCTTGGTTGATTGGGACAGCGATGGGGCTTTGGACCTCCTCTTTGCTTCAGGAGCTGATGGCAAAGTCCATTTTTATCGGAATCTCAGTGAGGAACCTGCAGAACATCCCTTCAAGATGATCCAGCTCAAAAAAGATTCCCAGCAGGCTTGGATACTGGCCCTGCCCATGGTGGTGGATTGGGACAAAGATGGCGACCTCGACCTTTTTCTCGGTCCTTCAGATGGAAGATATTTTGAGCAGTTGGCAGATGGAAGTTTACGTGAATGGCCTTTGGAGGAGAGCCCTTTGATGAGTGCCATGAAATTGCTGCCGCCCGATTCATCTTACAGAAGACGGCGCGGTCCAAAGTGGCAATTTGTGGATTGCGATGCAGACGGGGATTTCGACCTAATCCAGTCGCCTGGTATTAATAATATTGATAACAAGGCTCCTGCTCAGGCTTGCGAGCATGATAATGGCACGCATGAACTCCGATGTGACTCTGATTTTCTTTGCTTGGGCACGAATGTCAGCCGGTATCCGGAAGCAGACTGGTCTTCGGTTTTTGATGCAGACCCGGGAAGCTTCTTCTCTGTTTTGGATGGTCAGCTGAAGCTTTTTGTGCTAAGAGACAGTAGGATTGAGCTTTGGACTCCGGGCTTCTGCGTGCCAAGTGACCGTTGCAACAACAAAGGACATTGTTTGCCAGGGGAATCGCGCTGCAGATGTAATCTAGGCCATGACAAGTCAGATTGCTCGAGTTGCCACGTGCAATTCTACAGCGTGCGGCGGGAGGAGCTGCAAGTACAAGACTGCATGGCATGTCCTGGTGATGTTGCAGGGGGCAAGGTGTGCTACGGTCGTGGCACCTGCTTTGACGATGCGATGGCCAAACATCTTCAACAGGACTCTACGGCTGCATGGATGGTGATAGGCAACGGCTCATGCAGCTGCAACGAAGCTTATTTCTATGGGACAGATCAGGATGGCCGAAGTACGTGTATGGATGGCCATTGCCCAGCTGGCACAGAAGAGATCGATGGCAACTGCAGTTCTTGCGCTGGCGGATCCACCTCTGATGTCGGAGGCTTGTGCAAAGAGTGTGGAGCTGGAAAGTTTTCCCCCAAGGGAAGCAACAACTGCTCAAGTTGCCCTCAAGGACAAGTTTCAAAAACATCAGGTAGTTCCACATGCGAACCCTGTCCACCTGGAACTTACGAAACCAACAGGCAATTCTGCAATGCATGCTTACGAGGCCAAATTTCCACAGAAGGCAGTTCTGCTTGCAGTCCATGTGATGCAGGGCGTTTCGCCAAGGAGGCCCTGATGTGTGAACCATGCCCTGATGGAACGATTTCTGAAGCTGGAAGCAGTGAGTGTCACAGCTGTCCTGCTGGAAAGTTTTCTCAGGGAGAAAGCAACAATTGTTCCGAATGTCCTGCAGGAGAAATCTCACAGGTCGCAGGTGGGAGCGCGTGCGAGGCTTGCCCTGCCGGAACATTTGAAACCAACAGGCAAGTCTGCAGCCCATGCCCACAAGGGCGGGTTTCTGCAGTAGCAGGAAGTACTGCTTGCAGCCCATGTGATGCCGGGCGTTTTGCCAAAGAGGCCCTGATGTGTGAACAATGCCCCAATGGAACCATGTCTTCAGAAGGAAGCAGTGAGTGTCGCAGCTGTCCCGCTGGAAAGTTTTCTCAGAGAGAAAGCGGCACCTGTTCCGAATGTCCCACAGGAGAAATCTCGCAGGTTGCAGGCAGCAGTGCGTGCCAAGCTTGCCCTGCCGGAACGTACGAAATCAACAAGCAAGTTTGCAACCAGTGCCCCCAAGGCAAAGTTTCTGCAGTCCCAGGTAGCGCAGCTTGCAGCCGGTGTGACGCTGGCCGTTTTGCAAAAGAGGCCCTGAAGTGTGAGGAGTGTCCTCTTGGAACCGTTTCTTCAGCAGGACGAAGTGAGTGTCAAAGCTGTCCTTCTGGGACCTTTTCTCACCCTGGAACCAACGCCTGTTCCGAATGCCCCCCAGGAACATTTTCGGTTCGTGGCAGCACCGTATGCCAGCGATGCGCGGCAGGCACATTTTCTGCTGCAAGAAGTAGCGAGTGTCGCAATTGTCCTGCTGGAAAGTTTTCTCAGAGAGAAAGCAGGAACTGCTCAGAATGCCTTACGGGAACGATCTCCAAGGATCCAGGTAGCATTGCGTGCGAAGAATGCCCAGCTGGAACGCATGAAGTTCAAAAGCAATTCTGCAACTGGTGCCAGGAGGGCACCATATCAGTTGCAGGTGCTGGGTTTTGCAGTCCATGTGATGCTGGCCGTTTTTCCAAAAAGGCTCTGACTTGTGAACCATGCCCTGGGGGAAGTTTGCGGGTCCGAACAGCAGAATCTGCCAGGATTGTGACTTGGGCCACGTCTCCCTTCCCAACAGTGCCAAGTGCAGGAGTTGTAATGACTTGCTCGTTCGAGCAGTTCCTGATGCCACCGGACAAACCTGCGAAGTCAAAACCTTGGACATCGTTTTTGGCTTAGTTTGCTGGATGACTGCAGCTTGTTTTTCTTTTTTATTTCTGACTGGCTTCTTTGGCCGTCTTCCAATTTCCGATGTCTCGTCACAGGGTGACAAGATGGTGATCACCACTTCCATGGCGCATTTGTTTCTGAAACGGGCAGATCCAGTTGTGTCCTTCGCTGGCACCGGAGTCCCTGACTTGGATTCGACATCCACATGGAAGGTGAGGGCATTGAGCTCCTATCAACTTACGCTCCATGGGGAGGAGGCCTCCATGCCTCTAGAGACATCAACAGGACACATGCGGCTGAATTTTCCACGTCCATTTCTTTCGATGGGGATCTGGCGTTGCCCGCTCCTCGTGTGGTGCTTGTTCTTTGTAGCAGCCACTGCAGGCGTGGCTAGCCAGCTCATGCCGTCTCTGACAGTGCTGGAATGCGGCTTTGGTTTGTGCACGGGTTTGCTGGCTTTCGCATTGCGACGAAGGCAGGGTTAAGCAGCGACGTGGGGCTGATACTGCTGTGGTGTTGAAGAAAGCATACATAACACCAAAAAACCGTAACGAACCAGAACCGGAAGCAATCTTCAAGAGTGCTTTCCCGCAGAGATTTGTCTACTGATTTGTTGGCTGTTTATATAGAATTCCCATTTCAATCATTTCAGTTCCAGTTTTGAAGTACGGTAGCAAACAAAACCACATTTTCATTATGTTGTAAGATCGCACGTAGTTCAGCAGTTTGAAGCCTCCGTCAGGCAGGGTGAGAGGACTCCGCTGGCAAAAAGGCGACGCCAATTTCTCAGAGAGTGGCCTTTGGCAGTGGCACGATGTGACCGGGGCCCGGATCGATCAATGACGGCAGGGCAACTTTCGGACTTTGTGCAGCTACTTGGTGATTTTTTGGGGCTTGTTCTTGGCTTCATTTGGTCCTGGCTTTTGTTTTGAGTTTGGTTTGGTTTGCGCTCGTTTATATATTGGCTTGGACGATTGAAAGATTGAGTTGAGTTTTATGAACAGTCTTGTCCGTGGAGGTAATGGCAGGATTAGCCATTCGAGATTCACAAGGGTTTGAATGAGACGGGAACAAGGGGTGGCTTGTTTCCACGGTGAGTCAATGCTGATGTTTGAGCTGAGGTTCTTCGAAATTTTCATCAAGGAGCGTTCCATGTACTATGTTTGCTCCAACATTGTGAAGCCTCTCACCGAACCATTCCAACTGTCCTTCGTTGAGCTGGTTGGGCCCACGGGAATCCAGTGGTTTGTCAGTCACTACTGGGGAATGCCAGTCCGTCACTTTATTGATGCGATCCGCAAGCACGCTCAGTGCTGTGAAGGCGACTGGCGGGGCTCAGCCTATTGGATCTGCACATTTAGCAACAGTCAATGGCACGTGAAGGATGAACTTGGGCACGGAAAGTGGCAGGAGTCGTCATTCTATCTTGCGCTTAGAAGTCCTGACTGCCGAGGTACCACAATGATCATTGATGAACACGTTTTGCCCCTACAGCGTATTTGGTGTTTGTTTGAGGTCTACCAAACTATTTCCTTGTCGCAAAGCGGCTGTTTCCAGGGTTTGCTTCTTTGTACATCAGCTGGCGTCCTGCAGCAAGGGAATGCCGGGACGGATGTTGCGGTGGCCGTGGCCAAGACAGTGGCAGAGTTAGACACTCGCAGTGCCGAAGCCACGGAGGAATCAGATCGGCTGATGATTCACACGTTGATTCAAAGCATGCCAGGAGGATTTGATGCCATGAATACTTTCGTCCGAGATACGATTTGCAAAGCTTTGGAAGCCTCTCATCTTCACTACGAAACTACCCTGAAGAGCTTGATGCAGAATTTGACTTCACGGGTGACGCCATCCCCTTTGCCAACGCTTCTCAACAGCAGGGCGGAGCAAGTAGAGACGAAGTCAGACGCTAGTTACACTAGCTAGATGTTAGATGAGGGCATGGGTCTAGCAGAAGAAATTTCTGTGATGAGCCCCAGAAAGTTCCCATTTTTGGCATCAAAACTTGACTCAAACCCATCCGATTTTTTCAGGCAAGCAGATGCAGGCCCGGCCCATACCCAGATCAAACGTAAATCTGCTTTACTATTTTTCTTTTATAATCTGTACAGCAACTTTGGGCAAGACTTCAAAGCCGAAGGCGTCTGTCTCACATGCCCAGAGGAAATTGATAAGTGCAATTTTTTGGTTTGCAGAAGGCAGCCAGCCACTCGGAAGTTGCGAGCAACAAAGAGTCCTTAGTCCCATTTCAGGATGTGCCGAATGTATCCGAATGTGTTTTGCCGCGCTTGTGACCATGATTTTCTCCCTGATCAGTGGCAGTGACAGAGTTTTCCAGGAGCCCAGGGCAACAATGAACGACTCCAGGGATCAGAAGGGATGGCTGGACAGGATCCGCAGGGATCAAAGGGAGCGGGTCGCCCTTGGGTCCCCCGATGTTTTGCTCTTTGGTCTGGTTATGTCTGGTTCAAACGGATGTGGCCCTCTTTGTCCCTTTTGTCATCGCGTTTCCTACTGCGTCTCGGTCGTGGCTGTCACATGGTTTCACACGGTTGACAAATCATGTCGCATACCAGTAGTACCGCACAAGGCGGTGGCGGAAGTTTCAGAATAGGAAACCTATAGGAGACGTTGGTTGTTGTGAATCACGGATGGCAGAGCGAATCCACTGATTGACCGAAAGGTGGTTGGAGTTGTGTTTGCTGGAGTGGTTGCAATGCTTGCAGTGGTCACCTCACCCACAACTGCTGGATGTAGTGTGATGTACTGCAGCTGTAGTTGTAGTTGTAGCGTAGTGGAGTTGTAGCTGTGGTGTAATGTAATTAGTGTAGTGTAGTTGCAGTCATATAGTTGTAGCTGTAGTTGCTTTGTAGTTGTAGTTGTAGTTGTAGTTGTAGTAGTAGTAGTAGTTGTTGTTGTTGTTGCTGTTGTTGTTGTTGCTGTTGTTGTTGTAGTTGTTGTAGTTGTAGTTGTAGTTGTAGTTGTTGTGTAGTTGTTGTGTAGTTGTTGTAGTTGTAGTTGTTGTAGTTGTAGTTGTTGTGGTTGGTGTTGTTGTTGTTGTTGCTGTTGCTGTTGTCGTCGAAGTTAGGGTAGTTAAGTTAGTGAAGTTAGTTAAGTTAGTCAAGTTAGTTAAGTTAATCAATGTCTACTTTTTTGACATCTTCACGTCAAAAAAGGCTCAAAACCCTCAGTTTTTTACACTTTTGACTTCGAAATGTGCTTCGCGCCACAACGGCGTGCACTTTTTCGACACTTTTTCGACATCTGAACCTCCAAAAGTGGTCCGAGAATGGTGTGTTTTGTACATTTTGACTTGGAAATGTGCTTTGCGCCACAACGGCGTGCACTTTTTCGACATCGCAACCTCCAAAAGTGGTCCGAAGCTGAGGTGTTTTGTACATTTTGACTTGGAAATGTGCTTCGCGCCACAACGGCGTGCACTTTTTTGACATCTCAACTTCCAAAAGTGGTCCGACGCTGAGGTGTTTTGTACATTTTGACTTGGAAATGTGCTTCGCGCCACAACGGCGTGCAATTTTTCATCGCTCCTGTGGCCAGCTGGCTCCGCACCCGCCGCTTTAGCGAGCCTACTTTTCGACCCTCCGGAGCCACAAATCATTTGAAAAACACAGTGTTTCGCGACTTTCCTACCTTTTCGCGCATCTGCATCTTCTTTCTTCTGATCTTTTCTCTTCTGACTCTTCTCACCTCTGCTTTTCAACTGTCCATATTGTCGGAAGTTTCACTTCTAAACTTCCTTCGATTATGAAGGCTGTCAGTTTGCTTCAGGTGAAACTTTGTGAAACTCTGTGATTTTAGCATCGCCATTAAAGAGGACATTTTACTGTCCCCTGTCCCTTGGCAGCTTTCGGAACCGCGTCGCGAGAACATAGTGAGAACATAGTGAGATCATGAGAAGAAGAATTAACTGTGAACATGGGGCGATCCACTGGGCAGAGAAACTCCCAGAGAAACGTCTTATGCATGAAACATATTATTATTATTATTATTATAACATGTCGTGCAAGTGGCGGCTCGGCCACGGTATTTGATGAGTTGATTTTACAATAACTTCGGCCTTGCAGAAGGCAGGGAACAACATTCTTTCAGGCAAGAGGCATGGTCGGCATTCTTGTTCAATTAAGATCAAGGTGCCACGGGACTTTTGGGACTGTGACACTGTGGTTCAACCAAAAAAAATGCAGAAACAGTTTAATTACATCAGTTAGTAGTGACGCATGTCGCAAACCATGTGCCATTGTCTTGAAAGCAAGTAGTTGGCCTTTTGGCTTGAACGGAAACCGTCCTGTCTGACCCAGCCAAAGAAACTGTTGGGTTTTGAGACAAGGACGATTGTGCAGCAGCTTTTGATGGAAAACGGCGACAGAGAGCTACCAGGAACAGACTGACCCAGATTGGCAAGTGAATGGGAAGGATGGGAATGTGTGCAGTTTGGCATCACATACCATGGTAACTACGCAACTGCCACGTAGCCTCCACGCACCGGAAAAGGTGTGAAGGTGGGCCTCAGAACAAACAGCCGGCAAACAGCCGGTGAAAGTTGACAGGTACCACAACACATGGGCACCTTCCTAGGGCACATTAGGGCACCTTACTACGCACATTACCCCTATTGGTAAGCCATGCCATAGGCGTTTCACACCGCATTCGTACCAGGCCAGACATGAACCGTGCCACAGTGCCATCGTCCCATCAGTGGCATCCTGCTTTACCCATGCTGTGTGCCACATGGAGCAAGACCTTTGCAGACTCGTGCGCAGGCAGTTTGGCGTTTATCCGTGTGAGTCAGTGCTGCCTGAAACATACTGAAACATACTGAAGCGAGTTGTAGCAATCTCCACTCACTTGGAGGCTGCACCAGAGTTTCTCCACTACAACGTTCCGGGTGCTGTAGTTTTAAGGCTGGAGTGAGCTTTGCACAATCACGACGTATCTTGGGTTGGTGTGAAGGGTTAGCATCCGGCCCTGACAGGACGGCTTCCATCGTTTTGATTCCCTCTCCATCTTGGCTGCTGCCTTTTGCGTGGGGAGCATCAGACATCTTTGAACAGTCTGAAAATGTCTGAAAGCTTCAATTCTATCCATGTTCATTCCACTTTCTGGTGCGCACGTCAAAGTTTCGGGCCATCTCAAAGTCAGGTGGGAGTTTCTTGCGGCGCAGGCCCAAAGCATGACCGCATTCCATCCATGGCGCCTGAATTCTGAATCACCCCGCGGTGTCGCTGTCGCCTTTCCAGGCAGAAGATGCAAAGTCGTCAGATCTTCGGGGCAGGTGCAGTGCTGCAGTGCTGCAGTGCTGGCAGTGCTGGCAATGCCATGGGCTGCAACATCCTGTGTCCGAGCTTCTCAGAGCAGTTTGATGCGCCAGGCGCAAATTTCTGCACCGAACCGATGGGATACTAACCTCCGAAGACCGTGATGAGCCCAGACCCGTGGCTGCGAAAGTCATCGAAAGTCTTGAAATTTGGATAAATTTGGATCATTTGGGCCCCTTTGGGCTCTCAAACGTGATCTCAGCACGTGCAGGTTGCCAAGCAACACGGGGGTGACGCTCCGGTCCAAAGCTCAGAACACAGGACAAAAGGCGAAGATGCGAAGATGCGAAGTTCACAGGTGCTATCCGGTGCTCAAAGTATCTTAAAGTGAAAATAAAGTGGTTAAAAGATGTTAAAAGCTGAAGGTCGATCAGGTTGAGACGGTTGAGACGGTTGAGACTTGCACTGGCAGAGGTCTGACATGAAGATGGATGAAGTTCTTCGAATCCTTCTGAGCCAGTGTCTCATGGGAGATTTGGCTCATCCGCTGCAAGGACGTTGAACCGTTGAACTTTAAGTTGATATTGATGTGTTGATGTTGGTTGATTGGTGGACCAAAGCGACATTGCCAAACCCATCTTGTTCTAGTGATGCCGTTGTCAAATATGAATAATGATGTATATATATATATAATATATATATATATATATGCACCAGGCCCTGCCACCCCCCCCTCCCCCCCAGGCCCTGCCACCCCCCCCTCCTGGGATGGGTCCCATATACTGGCCCCATATGAGATCTTCCCCCTCCCCCCCCTGTGGTGTGGTGGGGGTGTGGCACTGTCCCCCTCCCCCTGTGATTTATTTTGTTTTACGTGTCTCCACAATGCATTCATGCATGTTGACATGTACACTTAATTCACATCTTTCATGCGCACTCCGCATGGCTCAAGACTAGCAGAATCTTGCGTAGAAAAGTGAGCAGTCGCTGTCGCTGACCGCAGGTGTTCATAGGTCTCCAGGGCTCCCCTAACAGAGGGATAGCTACCTCAAAGTGGTAGCGGAGCCTGTGCCTTCGCCAAGTCTAGATCCGTGTGCCGAACTGTCGTTCTCTGCATACATTCCGTATATCGGACTTGCGGAGGCAACCTGTAGGTCAAGTTAGAGTAGCTGCCATGGTCTTAATCCACAACATGGATTCAGATGAAGAACAACTCCAGATTGTCTCGTATGAAGAGCCTGAAGCATATGCCGCCACCAGTCATTCCGAAAACCGGATGGGCATCAAAATGACACCGAAGGTTCCACCCCAATTTGATGGCCAATCAAGCTGGTTTGAATATGAAGATTTAATTGATGACTGGTTAGGGATCACAACATTGGATGCAGATAAACATGGACCATCCTTAAAGAATGCCCTCATTGGTTCCGCTTCTTTTTATAAGTCGATGCTCGATAATGCCCTACTCCGAGATCCGGATCGTGGCCTCGCTCATTTCAAGGACACATTGAGACCATACTTCGTGAAGGGAGTAAATCATGTGTTCCTTTGGCGATTCCTCCAGATGTTTCGCACATATCGAGGCCAGAGCGAATTCGTGCACTGGATAGGGCGATTTGAGATCGCGCAGAAGCGTTTGTTGGCTTCTTGGTCCGATCTGCTGGACATATCCGATCTTCCCGAGGCAGGCACTCAGGCATTTACGGCAGCACTCGCAGATGAGCAAAGACTGCACTATAACCAGATAGTAACAGATGAAGATAAGCTAGCTTATCAACAAGAACTGAGAGAACAGACCATAACCAATAGAAGGACCAGACATGCACAGCAGTTTCCATTGTCAGACAATTTGATGTCACTGATTTTTCTAGTGCAAGCAGACCTCAACGAGCAACAACGAGAGCGTTTTGTCTCGTCCATGAACATCCGTCAGATCGCAATGCCTCAATACACCTATCTCCAAGTGAAACAGCTGTTCTTAGAACTTTTTGCCGTTTCTCGCACAGGTGTTGCAGACCCAAACATCACGCACCGCAAGCGGTCCAACTTCTACGTCATCGACGAGGGCGAGACCGAAGAAGGTGAGTACGGATTTTGGGTCTTTGATGAAGAGACGGGTGAAGAAGGTTTCACAGGTCTGTACACCGAGAACGAGTTCTGGGTTCTCAGCGCCAAGGGTTCATACTCTAAGCGCCGCATCTACGGCAGGTCCTTCAAGAAAGGTAGACCAAAGGGTTATGGCAAGAAAGGAGGAAAGAAATCAAGACCCGGCTTCCGCTCGAGGTCAAAAGGCAAAGGTTTTGCAGCATGGGAAGATGACCAGCAAGACACAGCTTTCTGGGGAAAAGGCAAGGGCAAAGGAAAAAGTAAGAAGGGCAAGAAAGGAATGATGAAAGGAAAGGATTCTTTCAAAGGAATGCCTTCATGGAAAGGAAAAGGAAAAGGTGATGCGAAGAACAAAGGAGGAAACAATCCATTTTTGTCACAACCTCCACAAGCTAATGTAGCACAGGCTGCATCATCCAGTGCATCACAAGCCCCTGAAAAACAAGAAACAGCCCATGCCGAAGAAAGCTGGAGTTATGACTATGACACATATTGGACAGATGACTGGTCAGGTTATGAATCCTACTATGGATACGATGGAGATTACTCCCAAGGTGATTGGTACAATTGGTCGTATTTTGTTTCCGCTGAGGAACTGACCGACTCCGAGGACAAGCATTCAGACATCAATTTCGAGGACGGACAGACCGACAAGATCAACCGGTTCTGTTTTTCAGGCATCCGCTAGTTCCGATTGTTCGGACACGAACTTGTAGAGGCCTTCACATTCGTGCTTCTGTTCGTGTCTGTGGTGTACCAGTGCTTTTCTGATTTGAATAGGTCCCTATTGAAGAGCATCCGCCAAGTTGAGAAGAGTGTTTCTACCGGAAACGGTGATCTGCATTCGTTACAGCCGCGCACAAGCCCGCTCGATTCCGTCTCAACGGAAGAGTGTGTATTCCTAAATTATGATCATGGTGCCCAACAAGCATTGCTTTGTGAATATGTAGATCTAGGTTCTCATCCGACTTATGTCATTCTTGACTCAGGTTGCACTCGAGCCATGGGATCCCGCTTTGCCATTGATCGCCTTGTACAGGCTTGCCAGCAACATCCCAAGCGTGATCACATTTGGTTTTCTAAGCAACCATGTTCAAGTAAGTTTTCATTTGCCAATGGAGAACAATCTACTGTCAAGGAAAGATTAGTGATACATTTTCGCAATGATCGTGCGCAAACTGGTTGGATCACAACATGCGTTGACATCCTGGACAAAGGTGAGGTTCCTATCCTATTTTCAGTTGAACAAATGAGGAATCTTCGCATGAACATTGAACACACTCCTGTAGGTGAGTTCATGACTTGTCCACTGTTTGGAATGCAGCGCACCGCATTGGCGGTCAGTACATCCAACCATCCAGTCCTTGACATTATGGCTCTTGCTACTTCCAGTTGGAAACCGATGTACAGCTTTCAGTCCGAAGACATCACATGCCCAGCATGCAATGGTAAACATCGACCACACACAAACAAGGAAGGTTGCAAGAGATTCAAAGGATCAGAGCCTAAGCCTGCAGAGGTGCCGAAACCGGCCAAGCCTGATTCTAAGAAGATTGTCAAGAAAACAATTCAGCCTGATAGCAAGTTAGAAGTACCAGCTCAACCTTTTGATCCCGATGAAGAGCCAATGGTGGCCTCTGGGCCAAGTTCCGGTTCGAAGGACGGTATCCCAAGACGTCGGGAACCTCAGATTGAAGCAGAAACTGAAGTTAAACCGGAATCCAAGGTTGAAGTGAAACTTGAAGAGAAAAAGGAACCGTCACCTAAGGGAACTCTGTCACTTGCACTTCAGAGAATTCATGATAAGCTTCAATCACCCACTGAACTTCTCAAGTTACATTTGAAGCATTATCATATGACCACTGAACAATTCAAGAGAAGAACATCAGCTCTGAAGTTGCCGAAAGAAATTTATGACAAATTTGATCAGATTACCAAATCATGTGACACATGTTCCACTGCCAGGATTGCACCATCGAGAGCTAAGGTTTCGGGAATTCGAAGTGAAGTCTTTGGTGAACTTACATTCATTGATCATGGAGAAGTTCCTATCAATCTTCGTTAAAAGCTTCAATTCCTACTTATGTATGACGGTGCAACCTCTTTGACTACTGCTTTTGTAGTTCAAAACAGATCTGATCCGGTGACCATTTCTCATCTTCAAGAATACTTTGAGACTTATCAGCTGAATCCAAAATACATTGTTGCCGATCAAGCTTTTATGGGCACTGAGATGGAGAGTTATTACAACCGGCACAGCATAAGGCCAATCTCTCTAGGACCAGGAACACCATGGCCAAATCGAGCTGAAGCAGCCATTCGCATGTTTAAGAAACAGGTCTCATTAATGCTAATTTCCTTGAAAGATGATCCATTGCTTGCCAACATTACTTATAAACAGTTGTTGAGACAAGCCTGCATTTCAAGGAACACCATGGTAACACTCGGTGGTGTCACTCCTATTGAATTAGCATTTGGTCGAAGGCCTGCCGATCTTACGGCGATTGAGCTCATGAATCCAGCACAGCTCACGACTGAGGCCCCTGCTCCTGAGAGACAGATTGAAGCACTAAGGTCACTGGCGATGCGAAAGTTTCTAGAGGCAAAACAGCCTGATGACCTTCGAAGAGATATTGCAAGTAAACTTCAACTTAGTGATGGACCATTCTTTCCTGGAGATAAGGTTTACTACTGGACCGAAGACAAATCAAAAATCAAATCAGACGGTTCACATGGAGGAAAATGGATAAAAGGAAAGTTGGTTTCCGTAGATGGCAGCATGGTTGGAGTTGACTTAGGAACCAGAATCGTGAAGGTCAACATCAGTAAAATAAGAAAAGACCATAATCCTATTGAGGATATTGACATTCCTTTAGAACCAATTGCACTTGCCAGTGCCGACTTTTTGGCCAAAGCTGCCGCCGGTGCCGAATCTTCGGCCAAGGGCGCCTGTACAGCAGTGAAGTCCACTTGCCGCTCAGATGATCATGCAAATAACATCATAGAACACGATGCCATTCAGTCAGGTCCTGAAGGTATTACCTATGGTTGTTATACATGGGAGCCAGCTATGACCGGAAAATTAGATTTCCTTGAGCTGTTTAGCGGCTCCGCCAAGCTTAGTCAAGCGGCGGCGATGCAAGGGCTTCGAGTCGGCGCTCCAATTGACCTCCGCACAGGTTACGACTTGCTCACTGCCGAAGGCCGGCGAAAGGCAATGGAAGTCATTGAGCGACAACAGCCAAAAATCATCCACATGGCACCTGTTTGTGGACCATGGAGTCAAATGCAGAATATTAATGATCCTGCCGATACTTATCAGAAAAGGAAAAAGTATCTCCCCATGGTAGAATTTTGTGCAAGAGTCGCTCTTTATCAGATTGAACATGGCAGATTTTTCATCATTGAA